GCGCTCTTGCTTCGCCGGCCGCCGCCTAAGGGGGCTGGGGCCGGGCCAAGCTGCCGCTGCCGTTGCCGGGATGCCGCGGGTGTACATCGGCCGCCTGAGCTACCAGGCCCGGGAGCGCGATGTGGAGCGCTTCTTTAAGGGCTACGGGAAGATCCTGGAGGTGGATCTGAAGAACGGGTGAGGAGGGCGCAAGATGGGGCCGCCCGTGTGGGGATAGGACCCCGGCGGTGGTGGGGAGGCCGCAGGGACGAAAGAAGGACGCCTGCCCGGTGCGAAGCTGCTGCCGGCCTGCTCCGGCTCCGCCATAGTCGCGGCGCCTCGGGGGTGCTGGTAGGCCCCGAGTCCCACTGCGCCTGCGCGGGTGGGGGTGGTGGAGGGAAATGGGAGCAATGGTGAGGTTACGAGTGGGACGGGGAGAAGAAAAACGCGAGTGGGATTGGGGCTCCAGGCGGGAGTGCACAGCTCCACGGCGCCGAGGAGGCCTGGGTTTTTCCTTCCCAGGCACTGGGACTGGGGCCCGGTTTTTCTCCGGCTAGAGACCGACCTTTCCCGCTTTTAGGGCTGCTGGAAATAGACAGGATTTCCTGCTCCCTTTTCACCCCTTTCCCAGTCCAATGAATCAGACGGTCACAACGCATCTTTCACGGGGATAGGAGCTCTGGAGAGAGGCCTTGTTTAGACTTGCCATGTGCCGCACTTTTTTTGGGCGGGAGACTCCGGTTTGAGTAGTCTAGTGACAGTTTCGAAAGTATCTTCTTGCCGTGCTGAAAGCCTTCACCGTTTGCTCTACACGGGTATATTAAAGTCTTAAACTCATTATTTTTTAAGACTCCGTACAGTTTCCAGGCTGTGGTTTCCGTTCTCCAGCTTGCCAAAATACTGCTTTGTCGTAGAATTTGTTGGAGAATAATGGCCACCCGGGTTAGCATGTGCGTCAACTAGCTAATGTAGACGTTGACGCACAGCTCGACGTTGCTTACTGCCTCCCTGGGTATATGGTCTGTTACTCGTACTCCTAATCTACTTTGGCAGAGCAGGGCCCGCAGAGGCTGCGTGTTTCAGGGAAAACAGCTGAGGAGTCAGGTCTGGAGAAGATACTCAACAGGAAAAACTGTCAGAACCAGGAAATGTTAGGTAGAACTTCAAGAAATGGCTATAACAATTAAAAGGAGTAAAGGGGACATTTTAGGGTACTGAACCTTGGGTGTCAGCTTTTTTTTTTTTTTTTTTTTTTTTTTATGACCTGCTTTGCAACAGGTCTAATGTGGCCACAGTTTACTCCCTAGCAACTAACACTTGAGAAGTTATGGAAGATACCTAAATATAAGTTGCATATTTGAGAAAAATTGGTAGCTACCATATACTCAAATTGTTGACTGGGTTTTGAAAAATCATTTCAAATTTATCCTTAGGAAGAATCACCTCACCGGGAAAATGTCCTCAATAAATTTAGTATGAATACTGGCTTCTTTTAGAGTAAAGTACATGGGAAAATACTCACTTTGTACAATAGAGCTTTCAGTTCTTAAGGAATTTACTAGATAAAGGGGGTTTTTGTGATTGTAATACATATATACATCTGAGTTTTCAAGTTAAAATTCCCAGTTTTCTTTAGAGCCCAAATAAGTTGACAGAATAACTAAATTTTATGGGGAAAGCATGGGGGTTTTGTTTGTTACCCTCACCGGAGGATTTTCCATTGCTTTGGGGGGGAGGGATATCGGTGTGAAAGAGACACGTTGATTGATTGCCTCCTGCTGAGAGCTGGCCAGGGCCAGGGATTGAGCCTGCAACCGAGATATGTGTCCTTGGCCATAATCAAACCCGGGACCCTTCAGTCCGTAGGCCAACACTCTAATCACTGAGCCAACCCTGCTAGGGCAAAAGCCTGGTTTTTGAAGCTAGACAGAGCTGGGTCAAATCTTAGCTTTACCACTTACTATCTGTGGGCAGGTTACTTCTCAAATTCTAAGTTTCCTCATCCAGGAAGATTAGAGATAATAATTATAAAGCATTTGGCTCATAACTGTAAATGGTAGCTGTAATCACAGGAATTTGATGGTGATCTTTAGGAGACAGCTTGAAGTATATTTGGTGAGGTCTGATTTCTAAGGTTATTCAAGTGACAGCAGGAAATGATGTTGATGTTAATGGGAAAACTGGTTAATTGAACAAATACGTTGATAACCCACCAACAGGATGCCTGCTACTGTGCTAAATGAGTTGGGGAGGAGACAGAAAAGAACTCTATTCTTGAATAAATTGTTTATGGTTATAAAATGTATACTTTGAGTTAAGAAATGCTCTCACTTTAAAGTCAACCATGTTAAACTTGGAATGGTTTGTTTGAAATGGGCTTTAAAGAATGGGTTGACTGGGGCTTGAAATGGAGAAAGAAGTCTCTGGGAATAGCGTGTGTCATAAAGGGTAATGAGGCGGCCCAGTAAGGAAGAATTTTAAGAAGTAATAATCTAGTTTGGATTGAGTCTCATGAAGGATCTAGAAATTTAACAACATAAACCAGAAACAACAACTATAAGGTTTTACACTAAAAACTCGTTATAGATTAGGAATTCAAAGGCTCTGGAGGGGGAAATTGAGCAATACTGGAAATGGGATAACAGGAAGGACAGATTCTTCCAGGACCCTAAATATCTAGGCCTCTTGGGGAACTATATATTCTTACAGTTCTGCTGCTAGACCATGATATGCATGAAATCTGTGATTGAGAGTCAAGGTTGAAAGGAATAGGAAGTTATTTCGGGGATTTGAAGACAGGTGTGACAGTCACCAAGCAGGCACACCTCCTGGCAGCATTCAGGAGTCATTACAGAGGGAAATGACTGAGCCAAGGACTAATGGTATAGATATATTTTAAGCAAGAATTGTCTGGACAAGGTGGCACAAGTGCAGAGGAGTCTGAAAGGAAGGAGTAGGTGCAAAAGGAAAAGATGGCATAACATAGTAACATGTGTAACCTTACAGTCCTGGAAAATAAGGATAGTAGCTCTTCCTGAGAAGTATTTCTGAACATATATGGATTATGATTATTAGTAATTGAAACTCAAAAGCAGATTTTGGATGGATAGGGCTTTTAAGAAAAGCTAAAGAGTTCAAATTTGTAGAAGAGATAATATCAGTAGACAGATAAGTTAAGCTGAATGGTTGTGGGTAAAGTTCAGAATTAATTACATAGGCATAAAGTACTGCTATAATAGAAAGTTAAGCAAATGAGCTCTCCAAGTGAAATTTTAGTGTCCAGGAGAGGTATTTATAGGCCCTCTTGGGATTTGGAGAAGAGGTATGTGTACAGCAGTTCATTGTACCAAGCCACCCTAGTTTAGATTGCCTTCGTTTTAGAGAACTCCTAGAAGGAGGATTCCGTTTAGGACCACAAACATGTAGATCTCCTGAGATCATAGAGACCACTCCAAATCCCCTTCAGGGTATCCGACATTCATACCTGCCACTAAGTGCAACAACAGTCACCATGGGGATCAAGGAAGCAAAAATATTAGCAGCACCTGTTTATAGCCTTCCAACTCTATGGTAAGTTTTGCTGCCTTTGATTTTTTGTGAATCCTATAGGCTTTCTTTTTTATTAATAAAATCAGTCTCCATGTAAAGTGTAGAAGTTTTTTTGATACAGTAGTTTCTTTTTTTCTTAATTTCAGAGAGAGGAATGGAAAGGGAGAGATAGTAATATCAATGATCGGCTGCCTCTGCATGCCCCCTACTGGGGATCTAGCCGGCAACCCAGGCATGTGTCCTGACCAGGAATAAAACCATGACCTCCTGGTTCATAGCCACTGAGCCACACTGGCCAGGCAATACAGTAGTTTCTATTGCAACACAAAATCTTGTGGTTTTAGCCATAGATCCTTACATCTTAATTTCTTCATATTTTAATTAAGGAATAAACTTAGCACATCCTAAGGTTATTTTACTTGCCTAGTAGCTGGACAGGTAAACTCCCAAATCATTGAGGTGGTAGGCTTTTGTTTTGTTGTTTTTGTTGCTGTTCATTTGTTTAGTTAAAGGCCTGAATTAAAACTCTCCAGGGAAGCTTGGCTATACATTTCAGAACCTGTGTTTCATATTACAGTGAAATTGTGAGTAGCCAGGATTTTTAGGGGGTGTCCTGGTCTGTTTAATTGGATTTTAATGATATCTAAGTATTACCAGAAAGTTTTTGTTTTCACTCTTGTTAAAAATTCCTTCAAGTAGAAGGCACCTTGTTTAATCTTTTAAATATGTTAAAACTTTTTCAATGAGTTGAGTCCTTGTTCTGTTTGTTTCTGAGAACTGTAGGCATTGTCAGGCCTCAGATACTAAGATGAATTTCCACCAACCCCAGAACCTACACAGGGATTTTATCTTTTGACTGAATTGATGGGAGCTTGTTTTTTTCCCCCATCTTTTTTTAAAAAGGGCAAAAAAGGAAATATAATTAGCTTAATGTTCCAGGTTATTGGTTTCTGATTAATTGAACCATTTAGTTTATTAATCATGTGGGAGACTACCTTTATCCATCACCAAAAAGCAGATAAATGTTTTATTTTTTATGGTAATGCTACAAGTAAATGGGTGATGGGGATGACAAAAGAAAAACTCTCCCTTTAATGACCCCCACCATCTTTTAGTTCTTGGGCAGTTCTGCCCTCAAAAATAATGTCACATTTGAACCCACTCTGTCCTAGGCTTTGAATCTTTGTTAAGAAAAGTAAAGCGTTTGGTTCTGGATTAATTTTATAATTATCTAAGAGATTAAAATAGCTTTCTTTAAAGGAGTATTTGAACTGTTCATACATAGTTAAAGTTAGCATTTCAAAATAGCACCTATTTCTGATTATAAAAATTTCACGTTTAGTGTAAATTTTTTTAAATATAGAGGTAAAAATAATAATCTTCCAAAGATTATACTGTCTGCATTTTGAGACTTGTGCCTTCTCTCTCTCTCTCCCTCTTTTCTCTTTCACTTCTTATCTCCCCCCACTGCCCCGCCTTTTTTTAAGGTACTTGGGATTATACTATACATTCTGTTTTGTAACCTTTCTGTTTCTAGCTAAAAGCCTGATGATCCTTTTCCTTTGTCATTAAGTATTCTCTTATAACCTAATTATTAATGGCTACATAGTATACCCACACATAAATGCTATTTAATGTACATAATTAAA